CAAAAACAAAGAAGAGAGACGATCAGCTGATCACTGATCAGTTTCAAGATTGAAGTAGCAGCAGGAGAGGGAGGGAGGGAGAGAGAGAGAGAGAGAGAGAGAGAGAGAGAGAGAGAGAGAGAGAGAGAGAGAGAGAGAGAGAGAGAGAGAGGCCGTCGCTCCATATATCGGTTGTTAAGCTTAACGTGTTAACTAGTTGCTACTGGTTGTGTATGTGGGCGTCCGTCCTGTACCTAGCTGGGGGATGTCCATCTCCAAGCCATTGCTAAATAGCGGTGTTTTGAGCCAGTAAACAGTATCTTGTTCCTCCAGTGAGGTAGGAGCTCCCTGCAGCATCCCACCAAGGCAGCGCCCAACTAGCAGGGCGACTGTCCTCTCCAGGTCCACAAGCCACACCCAAGAAAGTGCGGGCTGCGGCAGGGTCATTCCTGAGGCTGGCTCAGCAAAGTCTGAGGTACCTGGAAAAAGACAAATACGTTCTCCAATTTAGTACTCCACCAGACGTCAAGATGGCCCCAACTGCAGGGTGTTGAAACATATCACCTTTCATTATAAATAACACGATATGATTTTCATTTTCTCATATCAGACATCAGTGTTACATATTAATGTTAAGGCCAAAAATGAGTCTTGCGAAGTCGCATCTATTCAGCATCTCACACGAACATCTAGCCTAGAGGTCGGCGACCTGCAGCTTGCAAGCCAGGGGTTAGGATTAAGGTTACCCCGAACCCTATTATACTATATGTACCTCTGTCCCCGTCACCTGCATGTGCTGCTCTTCTTCTCCCACTGCTTGGTAGGAGCAGCTATGACTCTTGATGTTGAAAGTTGCCGACACCTGAACCGGCAAATTAATCCTCCAATTCTAGTGTATGTTTATGCCAAATTTTAAAAAAATCATCAAGCTCTTAAAGAGAAAAAACGTAACGACAGAATATGTGTACACGTAATGCCTGCACACATGGCTTTTTGTAATTACACTGCTGGCTTAGCTGACAAGGGCTCATAATTTAACATCTCCAGCAGAAATGATCACATCATGTGTCTGTACATGCATTTACCTCATCCCAGGATATTTTGTAACTTTTTTTTTCAAATCTTGACCAAGTTAACCTTGTTCTGAGCTCACCCTGAAGAGGCCACTGCAGCTCCTGGTCCTCCAGAGGAGAGGCAGCAGGCAACAGTCTGTTCAGACAATCCAGAGGAGGCAGCAGTTCCAGCAGTTGGCTCAACAGCGGCCTTGCCACCGACACCGGAAGCAGCAGTAAGGCGTTGATTATCTGACACAGCATGCTGCCTGCTGCTGACACGTAGATCACATCTGCAGATTACATGATCATAGTTTTATGACAATGATATAAAACAAAAGAAAGTATCTCCAATGCTAAATGAAAAGAACTTGAACTATCGGAGCAGAATGAGATAACAAGGAAGTGAGAACAGGCCTTTATAGCCAGTTTACAACACAGGTCACTTGATTTCATTCACCTTGTAGCTTCTCCCGTATGCTGCCATTCCAGGAGCTCTCCTTTATCAGCGCTGCAGAGCGGGAGTAGATATCTGTGGCATGTGGCAAGAGCAGCTGCAGATGTTTGTGGAGCAATGACACACTGCTGGAGTTCTGCAAATAAACAGGGTGACAAAAAGTTTTTATATACTATGGTCATTTTCTTTTATTTGGTTTCTTTTATTCACTAAAAAAGTGACAGACAGACAGATTTTTACCAACATCACAGGGCTGAAATACAATCTATCTACAACATAGCACACCACATTATTAAGACACCACTGAAAAGAAACATCAGTGAAATTATTCATCAGTAAATAAAACAGAAATTTAGCTTTAGATTTAACCAGCAAAATGAAAGTTGTATCAACCCACTGCCACTGGAGACCAAGCCACTCCACAGTTTTCAAAGACACAATAAACAGCATTTCAAGGCAGTTAAATTCAAGAAACATATGAAAACTAGTTTTTATTTCTTGACAAAAGGGACATAATTCACTTGCATCTTTTTTAACCTTGGACACAAAACTACTGACAGCAATGGCACCGTGCAAAACCCTCCCCTGTAGGTCACCTGACCTCTTATTGAGTGGGGGTTAATAAAAGACTCTCCATATAGGTTTCTGACATTCCTCAACTTTTAACTTGTCTCTCCAGACAGCATCGGTCCTTCCACTCAAGTGCCTTTTATTTAACCCTTGAACTGACATTTTATATAACAGTTTTCCACTCAGCATGTGAAAAGTCACGAGTCTTTCTGATTCATAAGCGAGGGTCCCGTCAAGAATGTAAAATCAATACTCAATTCCATTCCTCAAAAAGGATCTCTTTCATCGGAAATCTCTAATCCACGACTAGAATCTAACAGCATCTCCTTTTCAACTAAAGTTAAACATTTAAGCCAAAAGTCTAGAATACTCCTCATAATGTGGCTTGACTTGAACCAATGAAAGATGTTGCTGTTTCTGTGTTCTGAAGGTCTGGTCCATAATTTGTCTCAGTTTGAGAGCCTTTGTCTCAAGCAGTCTTTTCAAAAAAGCAAGTCCAGTTCCATCACGTGCATCCGGCCAAGCCCCCAAAAACAACGGTTCCTCTAGAAGCCAAAACAATGAGGAAGCTGGTTCCAGTCTTTTCCAACAGAAAAGGGTCCAAGCTTTAAAAAGGCTTTTATAAAACATAGGAATTTCATAACAAAATATTAAAGTTTAGTAAAAACACGGAAGCATCCATTCCTAACTCTCCTTTTCCTCTTAAAATAACGCTAGTTACTGGTTCACAGAAAACATCTTCCCTTCCCATCAAGTGTTTCTGAATAAACTGCAGTCTGAAAGCTGCAGCTCTGCTCTCTAGGTGAGCTCGTCCTTGTCCACCTTCTTCTTTGGGCAAAAAGCACAGCCTGGTGTATCCAATGTCGATTATGCAAAAAAAACTTGATCATCAAGGATTAAAGTTTACGCGCACGGGTGCAGCGGCTCTTAGCTCTCCAGTTTGGTGCTCGTTTTTACTTTTAATGTGGATATTTTTGAATGTTTGCAACGCCGCCATCTCTTACAGTCGCCAGAACCTAATTGACCTAGGTTTTAAATATAGTTTGTCTGTTTCTGGCGACTATCAGCGAACACACAACATCCTGGAGGAGATAGCGAGACCGCCAGGGTCACCGTGGATGGTCTGCCCGCCCAGCAAGCGTAGAAGGCGACGGAGGGAAAGAAAGCAGAAGAGGGGATGCCGGTCGGGCTCAGACGCTAGGCTACGCAAACATCCACACCGGCCAGCACTTCCGAGCCTTTTCCTATCGAACGCCAGATCCATCACCCACAAATTGGACGAATTGGAGCTACAGATAGCCACCACGAGCTTTGCACGTAACTGCAGCATTATTCTTATTACGGAGACGTGGCTTCACCCGCTGATTCCCGACGCTGCAGTCGAGTTAGCAGGCCGCACGCTACACCGGCATGACAGAAACAGCAACTCAGGTAAAAGCAGAGGAGGGGGGCTATGTGTTTACGTGCATAACGAGTGGTGTTGTAACAGCAGGATCATTCACACACACTGTTCTCCTGATTTGGAGGTTCTGGCAGTCTCGTGCAGACCTTTTTACATCCCGAGGGAGTTTACAGTAGTTATTGTGATAGCTGTTTATATACCGCCGGATGCTAACGTTAGCACGGCTCTCAGCCTCTTGCTCAACACCATAAACAAACAACAGCTTGCCCACCCCGATGGGGTTTTTATTGTCGCCGGCGACTTTAACAAAGCGTGCCTAAAGACTGTGCTTCCTAAATTTGTCCAGTTTGTGGACTTTGCTACGAGAGGAGAACACACTTTGGACCATGTCTATTCAAACATCAGGCATGCTTTCAGAGCGACACCCCTCCCCCACCTGGCTGGATCTGACCACCTCTGCATGTCCCTCACCCCCACCTACACCCCCCTGCTGAGAAAAACAAAGCCCCAGACAAAGACAATAAAAACCTGGCCTGAAGGAGCCCTTTCTCAACTGCAGGACTGCTTCTCAACAACTGTATGGGATTTATTCTCCAGCCACAACCTCCAGGAGTACACGGACACTGTACTCTCGTACATCAGGAACTGTGTTGACAATGTCACCGTCAACAAAAGGGTCAGGGTGTTTCCAAATCAAAAACCCTGGATGAATAGCGAAGTGCAATCCCTCCTAAAAAGCCGCAACACTGCCTTCAAGTCAGGGGACAGGGCTGCGTATAGGGCGGCCAGGGCAGACCTGAGTAGAGGCATCAGGAAAGCTAAGGCTGCCTATAGGAGGAGGATTGAAGATCACTTTGCTGACAACGACCCCAGAAAAATGTGGCAGGGGATCAATCACATTACCAACTACAGAAGCAATAACCAGGCAACATCTAGGACTGATGCCTCACTGGCTGAGGATCTAAACCGTTTCTTCGCCCGCTTTGAGACGACCAAGCCCTCAGCTGCCACACCACTTCCACCCGCCCCCAGCACTGGCACACTAACACTTAGGGAGCACCAAGTGAGGTGTGTTCTAAGGTCAGTGAATCCCAGGAAGGCGGCAGGTCCTGATGGAATACATGGAAAGGTTCTCAGAGCATGTGCTGACGAACTGACCGGAGTCTTCACTAAAATCTTCAACCTTTCCTTGTCATCAAACACCGTCCCGCCCTGCCTCAAAACCTCCACCATCATCCCCATCGCCAAGAAGACAGCTGTGGCCAGCCCAAATGACTACAGGCCTGTTGCACTTACGCCTGTAGTGATGAAGTGCTTTGAGAGACTGGTCTGTCAGCACATCAGGGCCGGTCTGCCTCCCACTCTGGACCCCCACCAATTTGCCTACAGGACAAATCGATCCACCGAGGACGCTATCACCATAGCGCTCCACACTGCGCTGAGTCACCTGGAGCACCGAGGAAGCTATGTGAGAATGCTCTTTCTGGACTTCAGCTCAGCATTCAATCATATCATCCCGGAGATCCTGGTCCAGAAACTGTCTCACCTGGGACTCTCCACCCCCATCTGCCTCTGGATCAAGGACTTCCTGACAAATAGACCACAGTCTGTCAGACTCGGCCCCCACCGGTCCAGCACCATCACACTCAGCACCAGGTCTCCACAAGGATGTGTTTCGAGTCCCCTCTTATCAACAATAGACCTGTCTGGCACGCAGTATGTTTGTGTTTGGTGGACAACCTGATCCATCACCTTCTTCAGTCTGTTTGCCAGCACTTTTGACAGTATTTCATAATCAGTGCACAATAAAGAGACAGGCCGCCCCTTCTTAATATCCTGGAAATCACCTTTCTTTGGTAACAGCGTTAGAACTGCTCTCCTGCAGCTCTGAGGTCTCTGAGCCTTCAGTGAAGCTCTCCTCAAAAACCTCCATGACATCGTCACAAAGGTCAGACCTTGCTCTGTCCTTTCTTTTTTCCAGAGAAAAGAAAACCTTCGTAGGAGCGTCCATCAGAGAAAGATTTTGAAATCTGCAACAAACCTGAGCCCCCTGTGCTCCAGAGCCCAGCAAGGCTTTTTTAGATTTGAGGTTCTCAAACCAAACTCGGTTTCCTGTAAAATTTGCAGACACCTCCAGCTCCACTATGTCAGTCTCCAGATCTCTCAGAGATTTGGCCGATGAGACAATGACAGTACACTGCTGACAAAATTCGTTGATTTCAGTGTTGCCAAGAACCCACCACTGACTTAAAGACATAAAATCATCTTTCCGATTTATTTGCTTTATTTGCGTTCTCCACACTGTCAACAAAGATGACCACAGCGCTGAGTTCACCCACTGCCAGACTACACTCCTCTACTGAGCAAGGACAACTAGGTATGATCTTAAAACCATGTTGTCTCATGAGTTTAGAGAAGTCCATTTTGGCGATTTTGCACACTCAAAAAAAGTCAGTAATGCTTAATTTAATCAATTCAGAAAAGTGAAGTTAGAAACAAGTCCTCGATCTCTCAGTCAGACTCATCACACGCTCCACCGCCACACTCCCAGCATGCAATGCAGAAGGAACGAAAGAAAGATGCGGGGTACCAAGTAGGGCTGGGCCATATTATACCGTTCACGGTAATACCGGTATAATGTTAGGCAACGATAGGAAAATGAAATATCGCGATAGAATGGGAGTAAAACGCGCATGCGCAGTGCCTTTGTTTTCATACGCACATGGCCGATTGTTGAGTGAAACAGATGAACTGAAGTTGTTACGTAAAAATGTGCAACTGCTGTGATGTGCTGGTTTGGTTTTTAAAAAAAAAAAAAACAGATACACGACAAAGCACATTTTTTTGCAGAACATGCAAGCGGCCGTCGGACTAAGATGCTCTTAAATCTGGGAGTAATCTGGGTCCTAAACTCCGTATGCTTCAGGTCAAACGAACACTGCAGCATCACTGAGAGTTAAAAACTGTCTAAATTCTTTCATCTTTAATAAAACGATCAGCATTGCTGCTTTACCAGGTGTAACTATAAAGTTTAACTTCCAGGCATCCATGAAAACAAAAGTTATTACATTTAACGGAGTTAGAAGTTAGCAGGAAGCTAGCGGAAGTTAGCTCGCTAGTTTCGCTAGTTACCTAAGCATGATATAGCATGTTCTGACTGAGAGATTTCTGAAAAAAATCAAACGTACAGCTCTGCTATCACTTCCAACATAAATGAAGACAGGAAACTAAACAGCAGTGACGTTTGTAGGGTTACTGAAGTTGGGCTAGCTGGTATATAATGATGTGCTACGTGATCGCTAGCGACACAGCTATGTTAGCATAACATAAACAGTGAAGCTGGAGGACGAACACTAACACTTTTCCACTTATAAAAGTTAACGTGAAGGTTCCTATGGTTAGAGACAAATGCAATCGCATGGCAGGATGCTGTAAACGGACCAAACTTCAGTCAGGAGAACAACTGAGATAATCCATCCACAATACGAGGTTAGTCATTAATATACTGCAACAACATGGGAATAGAGCAGCTGCCAGAGAATTCAACATTAATGAATCAATGGTACAGAAGTGGAGGAAGCAAGAAGAATGAGTTTAATAAAGTTTGATTTATCTGACTGCTTTGTTTCGCTTAATGTGCCTTATAATCCCGTGCACCTTATGGTCCGAAAAATACGTACTGCACACTGCAGTTTAATGTTGCAAAGCACCTCTTTTTAACTTCAGTGGATATTATACATGGTTATGCTCAGGATATGTCAGCCCATTTCTACTGGAAATGCCTTTTGGTTAAACTTTCAGCAAGGAATTTGCATTTGCACTGTTACATTTTTATAAAGCTTTAATGTACATAAAAACCAGCTTCTTGTTTAAGTGAAAATAAATGGAAGGTTGTCTTTTTGCGCTAGTAATGTTGTGGAGTTGTATTTTGTCTCGCATCAATTATATCGTCAGTTATATCGTTATCGCAAATTTTCAAATATATATCGTGATAAATATTTTTGGCCATATCGCCCTGCTCTAGTACCAAGCACATTTTACACCTCTCCTGTTCTTTTTGTCACAACACACAATCACTGATAGAGAATTCAGTTTGCTCTCAGACAAACAAAACCAACGTGCCTGAGAGTTTAAAGCCATTTTAATCCTCATTACAACAACCATGTATGATCTGAAATTAAAGTGCAATCGGAAATAAAAAACGTCTTCAAATAAAACATTGTGAGGCTATGAAATTGTGTTGTAATCCCCCACCCCGTCATCCTGCCATGTTTTGGTAGTGTGAAAACTATTTTCTAAGTTATTAAGCATCAAGAATCAAAACAAACGTGTTTACACACTCTAATTATTCTAAAAAAGAGGAGCGCAGCCGTACCTCAGTAACAGAGTTGATGTGGCAATACGCTAGAAGTTGCTTCTGCAGCGAGCAGAGAAGTTGGTGCAGGTGAGCCGGCTGGCTGCTGTCAGAGGAGGATGTGCCTTGCTGCAGCTTATCACTGTTCTTCTCCAGCTCACCGAAAGCCTGATCCTGTACAGCACAAACATACAAACACAAACATCTGTGGGTTCAGTTCCATTTATTTAACACTAGTCTACAACTGTCAAAGTCAGCTTTATTTTCAAAACCATGTACATGTACAGATCATACACAGGAGTCTGAAATCGCAGTGCTCCCACGCTCTGATAGAAATCTCATATACACAACAGTCTCAAGCCGACTGTTGTTGTGATTTGGTGCTGTATAAATAAAAATGAATTGAATTGAAAAAAAGTTATTTCATCCAAGTAGTTTCTAGTTTTGTTTTGTTCGTCTGGATGTCAGAGTTCCATTTGTGGCTTTGCGAGAGCAGAAAACAGAATGATGTGGATAATTGAGTCAGAAGACTCAAGAGGAAAAGTACAGTCAGAGGCAGTCTAACTAGCATTCAGTGTGCAGTGTGTTCATTTCTCGGTATTAACTTACAGTATAAAAGCCAAGGTTCCTGAGCAGCGTCTTCATGAGAATCTCGGCCAGGTGAGTGTCGGGGTGGCCTGTGGTGGTGCCGTAGGCAGGCTCTGGGAGAGCTGTAAAGGCAGGGCCAGATGAAAGTACCTCTGGGCCATCAGCAGGAGAGCTGTAACCCAGGAGTGAGGCCACGTGGGTGTGGTCCTGGAGGCTGGTCAGGATTATGTCGAGCTGCATCCTCTGTGACACAAAATACAAACATTCCTGAGCAATGGAGGCAACAGAGACAGAACCAATCAGCAAATTCATCTTTCACACCTGAGTAAGTGAGAATATATGAGGGCAATGTAAATCGATGCCATTGCTGCCCACCACTAATTTCCCTTTTGGTCTTCTGTGACTCCCCTCTGAAATTATTACGCTATTTAACATAAAAGACAACATTACTAAGATAAGTTACCCATGTTTCAGAGTTTAGTGTGTGATTTCTTTCTGAATCCTGTCCACAGCTACGTCTGTTCCTCAGCCTGCATGCTTGTATCTACATGGCACTGATGGATTTGTTCCTGATAATCATTAGATTTTATTAAAAAAAAAAA